TCGATTCAAAATGGCCGACTGGCAGCCATCTTGTTTTTTGAAAATGTTGTATTTTGGACATGCTTTGTCAGTTGTCATTCAAACTTGGTACATAGATTATACATGTTAGGATACATGTCCATGACGATTTATTTTGCAATCGGATCAAAGATGGTCGACTGGCAGGCATCTTGTTTTTGTTTTTTTATGCAGTATCTTGGACGTGCTCTGTCAGTTTTCATTCAAATTTGGCACATACATGTACTTTATACATGTTAGGATGCATGTCCATGAAAATTTGTTTCAAAATCTGGTCAAGGATAGTCGATTGACAGCCATCTGACTTTTTGGCCTTAATACTATATTTCCACAATTTATGTACCATTTTCATTCGTATTTGGCACATACATCATACATATCAGTGTGTTTCATAATCAGATCAAAGATGGCCGAATAACGGCTGTTTTTATTTTGGCCATATTACTACGACACGAAACACGTGTTTTGATGTAAATAAACAATCTGTTGTATACGCCACTTGGAACTCAAGTTTCAAGGACACGCTTGCGAAAACCCCTTCGCTTTAATATGACGAGCACAAATAGAACTTAGTTTAACGGGGACTGTGTCATTTTCAATGACTTGTATTGTTGTATACTTGGTTAGGTTTTCAGATAGGTCATCTTTGGTTGAATAACCATGTATTCTATAATTATATCCCAGTCTCATCCCTGTCACCTTGACATAAATATTTACAAACCAAAACATATCTTCAATTATTAAGAATGAAGTAAATGAAACTGTTACTATGAGAGATGTGCTTCTAATAGAGCAAATACAGTACATGTGTTACTATGGGAGATGTGCTTCTAATAGAGCAAATACAGTACATGTGTTACTATGGGAGATGTGCTTCTAATAGAGCAAATACAGTACATGTGTTACTATGGGAGATGTGCTTCTAATGGAGCAAATACAGTACATGTGTTACTACGGGAGATGTGCTTCTAATAGAGCAAATACAGTACATGTGTTACTACAGGAGATGTGCTTCTAATAGAGCAAATACAGTACATGTGCTACTATGGGAGATGTGCTTCTAATAGAGTATGTGTTACTATGGGAGATGTGCTTCTAATAGAGCAAATACAGTACATGTGCTACTATGGGAGATGTGCTTCTAATAGAGTATGTGTTACTACGGGAGATGTGCTTCTAATAGAGCAAATACAGTACATGTGCTACTATGGGAGATGTGCTTCTAATAGAGTATGTGTTACTATGGGAGATGTGCTTCTAATAGAGTATGTGTTACTATGGGAGATGTGCTTCTAATAGAGCAAATACAGTACACGTGTTACTATGGGAGATGTGCTTCTAATTGAGTAAATACAGTACATGTGTTACTATGGGAGATGTTCTTCTAATAGAGCAAATACAGTATATGTGTTACTACAGGAGACGTGCTTCTAATAGAGCAAATACAGTACATGTGTTACTATGAGAGATGTGCTTCTAATAGAGTATGTGTTACTATGGGAGATGTGCTTCTAATAGAGCAAATACAGTACATGTGTTACTATGGGAGATGTGCTTCTAATAGAGCAAATACAGTACATGTGTTACTATGGGAGATGTGCTTCTAATTGTGTAAATACAGTATAGGTATGGTATGTGGGATCATGGTATCATCGATGAGGGATGTTTTCGACCATATGCAAACTCAACTCTCAATGGAAAGCAGTGTTTTTAAGCACGATTTGATCTGTGACAACATCTTATGACCTAATAGGTCAAGTCTTACGAACAAAATTTTTATGATATGGGAAGTTCTGTAAGCTAAATTCTGTATGAAAATGTGTCATCAAGTATGAGAGATATTTAAAAATGTGGATGAAGATGTGGAGTCCCTGAGGTGCAACTGTTAAGTCATGTGTGCATATTTGTGCACATTTGATGAGTGTCTTAAGCAGTAATAATATATTTATTCAGTACCATTGGCCATAATGTACACACTTAAATGTAACAAAAATAAATAGATTGTTTGATAAGAATAACCACTGCTACTACTTGTCTGAATACAAACTTATATTTCACATATGAATACCAAATTATATTTATATTTCAGTTAAAATTCCTTCCAGCATGACGTTTTTGTAAAGAATAAAAATATGTATTTTGCAAGATTTTGTATTGTATGTATAATTTCAGATTGCAGTGGCAAAATAAATTTCCATTCAAGCGCTGGGCAATAGTAAAACTTGTCTATAAAACGAGTTCTAATTCCTCAAATTTGGGACATTGTAATAGAAAATGGAACTCGTTTTCAATGTGATTACAACCAAAAGGACACAATCTTTGATCAAGTGGTATTTCTTATGCCCTACCCTTTTCAATCATGAGCAGATATCCTAAAACAAGTGAGAAATTTTCTAAAAACGCTTATGGTGATAGAATCCAGATATTTTTCGCCGGCTAATAATAATAATTTTTTAAATTTAGAATAGATACATAATTTGTGCACATCTACAAAGACAATCATCTCATTTACATACCATATGCCATATATGGAATTAATTTACATAAATCCTATGAGCCTCCTACTCAGTCTAGTTTATTTGGTTGATTGTATTTCTATCACTTGCTAAATTTTAGCTAAAGTTTGATTCTTCAGCCCTTTACACAATTTGGCATGTTATACACGTTTTGTTATTTCCATTTTTCGGAACTGTAACAAGAATTGAAGAAAATAGGTAAATCACAGTATAGGTGTTACAATGTGTTAAGAAATGATTAATAAAACCAGTCTCTATTCCCGGTCTGAAAACTCTTGGCAGTCTATTGTCCTAGGGCTGGTTACGGGTAAATAAACCATTCACACCTTTGACAATGAGCCACGAAGCTGAGCGTACACTAACTTTAGCACTGTGATCACAAACTTTAAACAGAACAGAACAGAACATACTACCGTGATTTGTCAAATTGCAAACATCTGAGAAAAAACACTAACCACATCACCAAAAGGTTAATGTACAAATCTATTCACATTGAAAAAAAATATTATGGTTGAATGTAGAGTTCATACTATAAAATGGGCCAACTCGCATCGAGCAAGTTAGTAAATCAAAAACATAATGGCGCTCTTAAATAAATTCTCGTCGGGCGAAAAAAGTCTGCCTACTCAATTTCTGGCAGTGCTAAAGAATTGATACTGCAGGATCTTATTCTTAGGGAAGAGTAGGAAATCAAACGGGCGGTGCACCGCGGTCATTACCGCGGTGGTGGTGGGTGCTCGCCGGTCGACCGCATTCTATGCAAATTTATGCATAGATTCCATGACCCCGGTTTACCGCGGTCGTGTGCGGTGGGCTCGCACAGCAATTCACACTTATTGTCAAGACCATTAATGAACACAAAGAACTGGGAAATTAAAAGGATCACAAAAGCTAGGAAACTAGTCTATAATAGTTCACATTATTTTATTTGCCTGAGCTTTGGAATAAAATCACAAAACGATCCAGAAAGACGTAGTGATCAACATAATATAAAATAAGATCGCATTATTTTGTGAATATATATCATGCATGGTCTCAGAAAATGTTTAGAAAGATTA